GAACTTCCAGAGGTTCAAGCCAGATTCAGAAGAGGCCGTGGAATAAGGGATATCATTGCTGATGTCCGATGGATCTTGGCTGAAAGGAGAGAATACCGGAAAGATGTTTACCTGTGCTTTATTGACTGCACAAAGGCTTTCGATTGTGTGGATCATGACACGGTATGGACAACCTTGTGGTAAGCAGTCCAGTGTTTAGCCTACAGTGCCACACCAGGCCTCCTTTGTTGTTTTTAAGTGCCATCAAGTCAGTTCAAACTAATAGCGGCCCTGTATAGGGTTTCTGAGGAGCAGCTAAGGGGTTTGAACTGCCGACCTTGTGGTTCAAAGCCCAGTGCTGATCCTACAGCACCTCACCAGAGCTCCTTTAAATAAGATTTGAGTGCCACTGGCCTAGACCACCCTCACAAGGAGGCAGGGTCTTCCCATTCCTGTACCGGATGTGGTAGAACTGAAAAGAGCTTTAAATGCTATATCAACCCATTCCTTCAGCATATCATGGGCAGAGGGGAGAATTTTGAGTGAGTGACAAGATTAAATGTGGCATTTTAGGAAAATGATTCTGACAGCTGAAGGTATTAAAGACAGGTGGTTAAAAGGGCTGAAATCCAGAACTGTGATTTGAATTACATCTTGACAACCCAAATCTCGCATGATGGATAAACAAAATATGGCATAAGTAAACAAAAGAATATTATTCCATTATAAAAAGGAGAGAAGCACTGATACATGTTACAATTGGTGACCTTGAAAATATTATACTAAAGAAAAGAAGCAGACACAAAAGGCCATATATTGTATGATTCTATTTGTATGAATTGTTCCAAATAGGCAAATCCACAGAAACAGAAAGTAGATTAATGGTTGCCAGGGAACAGGCAGGAGAAGAACGGGGAACGACTGCTAATAGGTAGAAGGTTTCTTCTGGAGGTGACAAGAATGTTCTCATAGTAAATGGTGATGGTAGTATAACTCTGAATATACTAAAAATCACTGAGTTCTACACTGTAAAAGAGTGGGTTTTATAGTATGTGAATTATATATCCATAAAGCTGTTACAAAAAAAAGTTGATGAGTGGGAACAATTCTGAAATGAGGAAGACTGTTAAGAGACTTTGGCCTGTTAACACAGGTTAGTTTGGGTGATGGAATTTGGAAGTTCGAACCTTGCTTATAGACTCATAGATCACTTGTTGCAAGAGGCATGTATTTCTTTGGTAATTAAAGATAATGAAAAAAAATATAGATCTCTGATTTTAGAGCCAAGAATCTGGAACCATGAACTCAGGATAAAGTAGGAACGCAGAGTACACCAAAATTGGGCAGAACAGACGGAACAACATGGAGCCAAGATTCTAGAGTCCACTTGTAATGGACATTGTTCAGTAACTCCCATTTTCAGTATTGTACTGGTAACCCACCTCTGAAAAACAAAACAAACAAAAAACTTAATTTGTAGCATTTGCTGATTTCTGTATTCTAAATACTCCTACTGAGACCGACGTCAAGCTACCAAAATGAGGTCAGTAAACTCTGAGTTGAGAAGACATGAACAGAATCAGGTCATGCAAGCTACTCAGAGCTTCTCCCATTTCTCATTATATAATAACAGCCATTCAATTTGGGTAGGTGTTATAGACTGCATTGTGTCCCCCCAAAAAGAGATGTGACCTTTTCTTGGATATATGAGTTGTAAAGATGTTAAGAGTTAATATGAGGTCATATGGGAATAGATGGGCTCCAATCTACTCTAAGAGGTATCTTTATGAAAGAGGAGAAGAGACACAGATATAGACACAGAGGGAAGGTGGACATGTGAAGATGGAGGTAAATGCATCTATAAATTAAGGAACACCAAGGATGGCCAGAAACTACCAGATACTAGGGAGGGGCAAGGAGGGATCCTCTCCTAGAGTCTTCACTGGGAGCACTACCCTGCTGGCACCTTGAATTTGAACTTTTGGCCCCAAACTATGAGACATGAAACTTCTGTTGTTGTAAGACACTCTGTTTGTGGGACTTGATTACAGTCTCCCTAGAGAAACTAATATGGAACTCCTGTGTGGTGCTGTAGGCTATGCACTGAACTGCTAACCACAATGTCGGTACTCAAAACCCACAAGCCATTCCTCAGAAACTCCTCTGAAATCCTATACAGAGTGGCTATGAATCGGGACCAACTCAATGGCACTTAGCAACAATGGAAAAGTAACTGAGCAGCATTGACTCCGCTACCACCTCTAGGGCCTAAAATTAAATCCAACTGCCAATGAGTCAATTTAACCAAACCCACAGCCAACGAGTCAATTCCAACTCATATCAATCCTGTAGGACAGAGTAGGACAGCTCCTCAGGGATTCTGGGACTGTAAATCTTTACAGGACCAAATAACCTTATCTTTCTCCCATGGATCAGTTTGTGGGTTTGAATTGTTTGTGGTTAGCAGGGCAATGTGCCTAAATCACAGCTCCCGAGGGGAGAATGCAATTGGCCTAATACAATCCAAATAATCTCAGCCCACTTTCAATGGCAGTGACTGGCTCAGACTTGAGTTTGTCCAGAGGAAAGCCCAAGACTTTTGTTCAAAGGTTTGGAAGAATGAAGATCTACTTTTCTCATGACTGGACATTAATTAGGAAGCATCTACCTCAGGTTGAGCTCAGACATAACAACAGTTACGAGGATGGTGCAGGACCAGGAAGTGTTTCATTCTATTGTGCGTAGAGACACTATGAGTTGGAACTGACTCAAAAGCACCTATCAACAACCCCAAGTTGCTGTTGGCAGCCCTCCTACAACCAATCTGCCACTGGACTGTTAATCTACCATAAAGCTAACACTGTAAAAGTCAGGAAACAATTAGGTCCTTGAAAACAATGCTGGATCAACTTTCTCCTAAAGGTTGCCTCTAAAAAATACAGAAGGATGTCAATAAGTTTCTTTTACTGTCTGATTCTGCTTAAACTGGA